GGTTGAAATAGGAGTGTTAAAAAAAAGTGAAAATAAGAGAACAAGGAAGAGATAAAGGAGACACTAGGATAAGAGAGAGAAAAAGAGAGAAAGACAGAAAGAAAGAGAGAGAGAGAGAGGAAAGAGAGAGAGAGAGAGAAGCAGGGGGAAAGACGGATACATACGGAGAGAGAAAGAGAAGGAAAATTCACCAAAACTGTAACAATTACCACCACTTAGATTTAATTAAGTTTAATTTAAATTTAATAATTTCAATAATTTGAAGAGTTTTAAAAAATTGTATTTTGAAAAAACTTCTATGATTTTATAAACTTTTTCAAATTCTCAACATCTGTAGACCGTGATTAATTTTTATTTTTGGAAAATTTCTTATGAATTAAAAATAATTAATTAATTTTTTTTAAAAACCTTTTTATAACTATCAATGGATGGATGGATGGATAGATAGATGGATGAATGGATGGATAGAAGGAAGGATGGATGGATGGATGAATGGATGGATAGATGGATGTTTGTGTGAGAGGCATTTTTTCTGAGCCATTAAATTGTTCGTCTAATTTTAAGTGCTAGCAGTCAATGCAGACGTGCTATTCAACGTGTTTGTATGTATGTGTTTGTATGTATGTAGGTATGTGTTTGTATGTATGTGTTTGTATGAGTGTTTGTATGTTTGTGTGTATGTATGTATGTTTGTATGTTTTTAACGTTTATGTTTGTTTGTTTGTTTTTTGTGTATGTATGTGTGATTGTTTGTTTGTATATTTGTCAATGTGTATGTCTAACGTACATGCAAACATATAAAATTTTTGAAAACAACAAACAAGTCTTCTTAAACGTGTATACATACATACAAAGATACATACAAACAAACAAACAAACAGACAGACAAACAGACAGACAGACAAACAGACAGACAGAGAGAAAGACAGACAGACAGACAGACAAACAAACATACAAACAAACACAAACAATCAAACAAACTTCATTAAAAATACACGCTTCAATGCTTGTGTATATGTTTTGTCCGTCCATTCATCACGCACCAGATGAATGAATGACTGAAGGTAAGAAAGAAAAAATGTAAAATGAATGAATGAATGAATGAATGAATGAAAGAGTGAATGAATAAATAAACGAATGGATGGATGAATGAATGGATGGATGGATGAAATAACGAATGAATTGACGATTGAAATTATCATTAACTTATTCATATAGAATTTAAAATTAATGAATGTATGAACGAGTAAATAAATGAACGAACAAACAAACAACTGAATGAATTAACGAATGAATGAATGAACGAATGAATAAATGAATAAATGAACAATAGATTCGCTAAATTATGATCCGTAATAAATCCTAATGAAACCCAACAAAAACATCATTTCAATGTTTTTTAAAATAAACGCCATCAAGAAAAAGCATCGTAAATTTACAAAAGGAAAGAAAGGAAAAGAGAAAGAGAGAGAGAGAGAAAAAAAAAAAAGAGAGAGAGAAAGAGAGAGAGAGAGAAAGAAAGAAAAATTAAAAAGTGAAAAAACAGAAAAACACACAGGAGAAAGACACAAAAGAGAGAGAGAAAGAGAGAAAAAGTGAGAATGACATAGCATAGAAAGTATTAGGACAAAAGAAACGGAGAGTTGAAACAAAAAAGAGACAAATAAAACAAGAAAGAGAGAGAGAGTGAAAAGGTGAAAAAAGAAAAGTGGGATAAAATGAGAAAGAGAAAGAGAGAAAGAGAGAGAGAGAGAGAGAAGAAAAAATGATCACTTACGGTGTGATGTTCTGCTATACCTGTAAGGATTCAATTTTGATGGCTGAATCATGTTTCAAGCCACAATCTGAGCATATAAAAGAAAAACAACATTTTTTCCTTGCTCGTTTGCTTCTGTTGTTTGTTTGTTTGCTTGTTCGTTTGAGTGTTTGTTTGTTTGTTTGGGTGTTCGTTCGTTAGTTTTGTGTTCTATATTTTCCGAAGCTGTTCATGTTGATGTGTTTACGTATTCTTTGTTTGCCCATGTTTCTCGGTCTCGTTCTTATGTTTTCAATGTTGTTGCAGTTGTTGTTGACGTAATTTCGTCGATGGTGACGTCATCATTACGTTGTTGATGTGTTGAATCTATCTTTAGTGTAAAATAAAAATAATTTTATTTATTTATTTAGTCCCACCCCTACCACGCTATAGTTTTCATTAATTCTACAGTCTATAGATTATCATGTAAAAATTTTCATCTATGCGTATTACACACACACCACACACCACACACAAACACACACACACACTCTCTCTCTCTCTCTCTCTCACACACACACACACATTTTCTTTCTCTCTCTCTCTCACACACACACACACAAACACACACTCATTCTCACACACACACGCTTATACATACGCGCCGC